TCATAGCGTATCACACTTACTTTTTAAAGTTCCTCCAACGCTTGTCAATCCTAAAAAACCATAATCACTCAGAAAAACAGCTCTACAGCCATTTTTAAACATTTGACCTTTGAAGGCCATATAAAAATTTTTCAAAATATAATTTTGAACGTAAAATTTCCTGTTCTTTCCAAATCCGGGGTAAAAAATAGGGGTTCCCATTGAAAAAAAAGACCTTGACCTTCAAATAACCTTGAAAGGTCATCTCAAGGTCAAGGTCATTAGCACAGGTTTGTGAACCCTTCTGTCCTGAACATTTTTTGTCGCAACTATTTTCCTGTAGAACGGGTAGTTTAGGAGATATTCGGAATTATAGATTAAAATGGGTCACCCTGTATACAGGGTGCGGCAAAAATATTGGACCGGTAAAATATCTCGTAAAATATAAATTTTACAGAAAATTGTTTTAGATAAAAGTTATAGGGCTTAGGAAGATCTATTTACTGTTTTAACAGTTTGACTTTGGGTGGCGCCGCCAAAGTCAGGTCGAGATCAACTTTGCTTTTTTAAATAAAAACATATATTTTTTATTTCGGCATTTTATTCTACATAAAGAAACAAACAACTTTTATTTGAAAAAAATTTTATACGACTTCCATTTTCTAAGATATTTACGGAAATATCTAAAAAATTATTGGTTTCAATAATTTTTTACTCGAATTCTATCAACTTTACTGAAAAATAGCAAGAGATAAAAATTGTATATTTTGTTCTCATAGAGCTCTGAGAATTTTTTTCAGAATTTTACGCTAATTTGTCTGATATTTTTTATGGATGAAACTCGGTCATTTTTGCGATTTTTATAACATGATATACTTTTTTGTTTACCTCAATCAGTTCCACACCTCCACTGGCCATGGCTCTATGAGTTTTCAAACATCCTGTACAATTACTGTACAATTACGGTACAGTTACATACAATTTGCGAGTGTAGTTTGAAGTTAAACATGTCAGATTCTTACACATAATACGGTCAATGTCTTATTGGCCAACTTTCGTTAACATTTGCCGCATCGTGTGGATCAACGTTTACCGGTTTTATACGCATACAAGTATAACATGGATGTTATTACATGTGCAACAAAATTAATAATAAATGTATAAGAATTGTCATCAGCAAATCTTTTATCTAATTATAATAATATAAAATGGATTCCAAATCACACATCATTATAACACATAACATAACAATATTGATGTGATCCGACTTAATACAGATGATAAAATGTTTCGAAGTGAAATAAGTATCACACACGAATAAATTTTGAAGGTAAAGAAAAAGATATATAATTTTTTGTATTTAATAATGTATGCATAGTATAGACGGTGTAATCTACGAGAGTGTCTTGTTCGGTTAAACCAGAAGCGGTACTTTCTTCAACTTCGTAGTTTAAATGATTATTATAACGCAACGATCTTAAGATGCATTAAATAAAATAGATGTTCGAAAAATTTGTTATTATATATTCAATTTCATCAGAGTTTAATCGAACCACATTACCAATATTGTAACGTGTTCCATTGATTTTCACCCATTTTATATTATCATAATTGCATAAAATATTTGCTGATAACAATTCTTGTACATCTGCATTATTTATTGCAGTAACTCTTGAAAATGAAGTTTCATATATAACTCTTTTAGAAAAACCTTTATTGCAAATGAATCTATCGCACAATCTATTCGCACTGATGTTTCAAAGACAATGTATAACATGGAATTTTACGTGATGTAATAACTGTACTATTCTCTTTAAGTTGTTTGTGTTTTGCTTCAAATCGTATCGATGATGTTTTTTAATGGTCCAAATCTTTTCATTACCCTATGATAGTGAACTAAAAAGTGATGCTTCACTTTCAATTTCGTTTTGAATAACTGAAGCAACAATTGTAAGTATTGTGTCATAAGCAAATCAAAAATATCAATAACTTCTGGTAAGAAGGTTGGCAATACAGTAATACAAATAATTTCACATTAAATATAATTTCCAGTAAGGATTGTTAAATTAAAGATTGTTTTCTGGTACTAAATCACCAATTAACAAGTTCAGATTTAATACGAAATAGAACACTTCAGAGGCAGATAAAATTATTATTTCTTTTTTTTATACAATCTGATTGTATTTCAAGAGGAATGTTCTGATTCGAGTCACAAATAAAATACGAAAGTCTTTCGTTTAATATATCCAAAGAAAAAAAATTTTCTTTATATATAAAGTAATTTAATATTTTTGCAACGTCGTATCTACATATTCCTTCTAACAGATCATGCATGGGATCTACGGAAAAATTCATTCTTACGTGAAAGTTTTATATAACGTTAAATACACATTCTTCTTTTACACCGAAATTTTTTTCCGTACAATGTAGTGAGTAATTTTTCTCTATCCTTAAAAAAGTAGTGTTTTCATTAATTTCTTTTTAAAACAGGTTTTGTCCTTGTAACAAGTTCTACAACAGTTTCTTGAGTTAAAACTCTGGGTGAAACCTAAAATAGTATTTAATCCCAAATTGTCGCCAACAATGTATGGTATAATGAAAAAAATTTTTTTTCTCGCCATGTACATTAATCTCGATACCAAATTCTTGTAATTCTTGAATATGTTTAATGATGTAATAAAATATTTTGTTTCCTATTTTTTTGTGGTCTTGATAACTATGTATTTGGAACAAAAAAATATTTTTTAGCATACTTGAATACTCCTCTGGTATTCTAAGTATAGTGCAATAAACTACATTCAGTTTATTTACTGACTTATGTGAACCTAAGAGGTTATTAATCTCTAAGTCATCAAAATACAAAATCAAGGGAAATGTTGTTTTTCCTGCCATTTTAAGTTCAATTGACCAAATCTTCCAAAAAGAACTGTTAAAAAATGTTGCAAAATTACTTTTTTTACTTTTCTCTATATAAGACATAATAAACTGAAATATGTTTGGAAGTTGAAGAAACTGTTGTAGAATTGTTTTTAAAGGAATAAAACTCAGTTTTTGCTTGTATATTATAGGTTTTTTAAGAAGTTCTACTTTTCATTTAATACAAAATAGAACATTTCAGAGCAGATAAAATTATTATTTCATTTTTTATACAATCTGATTGTATTTCAAGAGGAATGTTCTGATTCGAGTCACAAATAAAATACGAAAGTCTTTCGTTTAATATATCCAAAGAAAAAAATTTTCTTTATATATAAAGTAATTTAATATTTTTGCAACGTCGTATCTACATATTCCTTCTAAAGGTCATGCGTGGGATCTACGGAAAAATTCATTGTTACGTGAAAGTTTTGTATAACGTTAAATACACATTCTTCTTTTACACCGAAATTTTTCTCCGTACAATGTAGTGAGTAATGTTCTATTTCGTATTAAAAGATGTTAGGAATGAATAAATAATTAATAACGAAGGCTCGATGAAATAATTAATACGTTTTAAATATTTACATGTTAGATATTCACTTTTGAAAGGTGTAAACTCATGTTTCAAAATATGTAGGAATTTACATAAGTCGCTATTGTCATTAAACCTGTTACTAATAATGGTCAAAAAAACTGAAATAAATGATTTGTATAACTTATGAATGACTTCATGAATTATTTTCCTACTCAACGAACCAGAAGCATATAAAGTTACCAAGAAACAAAGTGTTTCGTTAAATACTTTTTCTTGGAAAGCCTGAATACTCATGTTTTTTGCTTCTAAAATACTGGAGTCTTCGTTACTTTTCAATGGGAGCATTTTATTTTAATCTGGCAAAGTTTTATGCGATAAAGTTATATTATATGGAACTTCATTTTGAATATGACAATTTATACTGTCTTACAGTTTCATTTAAAATTTGCACCGCATTATTTGCGAGATGATTACGTATAATGTGCCTCTGCAATATACATTAGTATATTTAGCTTAACAGTTTTGAAAATTACATTGAACTTCACTATTCATAAGAGTTTTGTGCTTTAACTTAATATGTGACATTGCACTATCTATGGTGTGAAACGAATTTTCGCAAAAAAAAAAACAAAAAATCATTTTTCTTTTTATGTTTCAAACAGAATATAAAATATAAAAAAGAAACAGTACATAAAATATTAATATATTATATAATGTTGCGCAAAAACTGAAATATATATATAGCGGAATCTCTCACAACTATATATATCGCAACATTTTATTGTAACTTATATGGCCAAGGCGTAATGTTACTTGGAAACGCTTGTTTACAGTTTAAACATTGTGTCTTATGTGCACGTAAAAATTATATTTTGACACATGAAATTGAAGTTGGATGATAATGTATCCAATAAAAAAAAGGAAGACGCATACACACGATCGCGATCGCTTCTAACACTATTTCTGCTTCACTTATCTTACTTTGTCCCCACATGTAAGTTGCGAGAAGTTCCATTATGTATACTTATACATATCTCTACATACATATTTCTTTGTGTGTGTATAACTTACAAAAACCCTGTGTATTTAATACTGCTTGATAACTCACTTAATAGTAACTGATACTTTACATAAACAAAGTTAACTTATTAAACTTATTCTAATTGTTCTTTGAAATTACTCACAGCAGCTTCTTCTTGTAATGTATTTGTATCTTCCAGTTGTTTTAAGCCATATACAATAAAAGATATTTGTGTGTCCCATTTCGTGGTGAGACGATAAACACCCTTCTGTATTATCCATAGATGTTCGCTATCTTATGGATATTTTAAATTAAATGAAAAGTCTTGAAACAGATGTCTATAGCCGTAATCGTATTAGCGACTTTATATAATGTTTCGTCCACACAAACATAAGTCTCCAGACTAGTTTTGTAGTCGCCTACAGTTATAATATACGGCTGAACAGTAGTTTTCAGTATTTCGGCACGTTTTTTCATTTCATATCTAATACGGCTCAGTATCTGTGAAAATTATTTATTTTATTATTTGGATATCGAAAAAAATTAGCAAAATAAAATATACCAAAGTTAACTAACATTAACATGTTTTATCATACTATTTTTACATGCTGCAATAGAGGCTTTATAGCTGTATTTACCGGACACAAACACTTTTTTCGGAGGAATAAAGTACAGCAATAATTGTAAAATGATTGCAGCTTTACTGTCTATAACAAAAAAAAACAGATTAATTACCACGTAACTTTATTGTAAACAATATTAATTTAAGCGATAGCGAGATATGTACCTTCATTTATTTCTACATTTTCCATTTGTTGTAACATAAACTTAACATCATCATTTTTTCATTTATACTTGTGTGTTGCTTTACAATAAAAAAAATTGTAACCATATATTGTAATTGAGCTTAATTGTTGAACCATTAATTTTTCCAAAGTCAAGAGCTATTAATTCGTGACCTTGAGGATGCTTATAAAGCTGCCATTTGTCAAATATATTCCATAGGTTTTTATCTTGCAATTGTTTCAAATCTTTAGAACGTAAAGTGTAACACACTTCCCAATGTTGCAAGACTAGCTCCCATGGAGCTTGATTATGTTGTCAATGTACGCTTTCTTCGAATACATTATTTTCAATGTCTGCAACATATGAAAATTTCATATTACCTCAACCCCAGGTTTTCTCTAGCATTAGCTTGATTCTGTGACATCAGAAGTATAAAATGACACACTGAAATTGATTGCATGCTATTTTTGAATTAATATATTTCTTTGAAACGATACTTCTGATTATTTAAACATACTTATAGAATGGTCTAAAAATCTTTTTAAAATCTCTTTTTCTTTGCTAGGCTGGAATTCTATGACACACGTCATCCGCTTAACGCGTTATCGCATAATCCATTCATTGCTAGATTTGGCACTTCAGTTGGGACTTTAAATAAAAGTGAAATATTGTGTTTAGTTACGCAATACGCATGATATAGAAAATATGTATCGTAGGACTCTAATCTCAGTTTTAATACTTTTTATTAATCATTTTATGATTCATGATTATTTGTGAAAGTAAAGCAAGTTTTCAGGGCATTTTACAAATATGCCTAAATAATCTAGAGTATTTTTCGTACAGATGTATTTTTATTTGAAATTGATGAGCAACAATGTTTAGAGTATTATGACTTATCTCGCAAGTCACAATGAAACAATATAACCACATATGAGCAAATTTAAGACAAAACCGAGCGTATAATATATATAAATTTCGGTTTATTTTCGAGTAATTTCATCTCTGAATGTTATTTTTGTCTTGTAACTTCGCAAACTACCTACTAGTCACTCAAGACTTAGAAATGTGGTCTTCGCATATCGTGGTAAAGCTTAAAAAATGAAAAATATGTGTGTCATAGTATGATATATGAAGACAACTCCTAAATGTCAAAGGAATCATAGCTCGCCAAATGATAAAGAAAACATTGGAAAGCGGAACATCTCGAAAATCGGATAACAGTTGCATCGGTTGTTGAACTTTGTTCGAAGATAGCAATCAACAATTTAAATAAACAAGAGAAATAAGAAACGTACAGTACAAATGTGTATTAAAAAAATATGTCTGATGAGGACTTTATATATGTTATACCAGGTATGTAAATATGAAACCGGAATTTTTGTATAGAAAATACACGTTTATTGTATAAAAATAATAAAAAATATTTTATTCGAAGTATTGCCCATCGCTAGCTATACATTTTTCCCACCTGTCTGACAATTTATGAATGCCACGCCAAAAAAACTGTTGCTCTTTTGAGGCAAACCAGTCAACCAGTCATTTTCGTACATTTTCGTAAGAAGTGAAGCGCTGCTTAGCAAGTGCGTGTCCCATACAAATAAATAGTAATCAGACGGAGCCAAGTCTGGTAAGTAAGCCGCATGCGAAAGTATTTCCCAACTAAACGCCTCAATCGTTTCCTTGACCGGTTTTGCTGTGTGTGATAGTGCATTATCATGAAGCAAAATCACTTTGTGTTGCCTTTTTTTATATTCTGGTCGTTTTTCGCGCAAAACTTGATTCAAATCGATCATTTCTTGTCGGTAGCGTTTAGTATTAACGGTTTGGCCAGATTTTAGCAGTTCATAATAGATCACATCCTTCTGATTCCACCAAACACAGAGAATAGTCTTTCGTCCATAGCGATTTGGCCTTGCAGTCGAAGTCGATGGTTCGCCTGGAGTTACCCATGATCTTTTACGCTTAAGATTCTCAAAATATGTCCACTTTTCATCCCCAGTCACAATTCGATGGAGAAGTGACTTTCTTTTATACCTGGCGAGCAGCATTTCGCGAGTGGTTTTTCGGTTTTCCTGCTGTCTTTCATTCAGTTCATGTGGAACCCATTTTCCCATCTTCTGAATCTTTCCCATGGCTTTCAAACGTATGGAGACGGCTTCTCGTGTCACATTTAATTGATCCGCGAGTTGTTGTTGCGTTTGAGTGTCATCCTCATCCAATAATGCTTGCAATTCGCTGTCTTCAAACTTTTTCGGTGGTCTTCCACGTTCTTCGATTCTCATGTCAAAATCGCCACCTTTGAATTTTTTAAACCACTTGTAAAGTATTAAATGGATATGGTCTATGTCACAACAAAAATAACAGTTTATTGTTCTTAACTACACAAGAGTCCGCTTGCCACGTGTACAGTGCACGCCGCACTCAACCGCTAAATTGCAACTCACTGCCCCTGAACCGAAATATACGTATATCGGTCTTAATCGAACTCTACGATCGACGAATTCAACCTCTTCATCCAATTAACACCGTTATTAAGTAACGCGCGGGACTTAGTTTCTGCCTACGTGTCATCTTGACTATGTTCTGCCACACACACACTCTTTCGACGATCACCTTCTCTCTCTACAGCGCCGCCTGTTCTACCCTATATCATCCGCTTAATACGACAGATGTCGCTCTATTTACCGATTACAACTATATTCTAATATATATATTTCTTACACACTCAAAGCACTGTGATTTACCAAGAGCATGCTCACCGTAAGCTTCGACAAGCATTCGATGCGATTCTGCAGCAATTTTCTTCAAATGGTAACAGAAAATCAATGCTGTCCGCAAATCGTAGTTTCCAGGCACAAAATTCGACATGTTCAATGCTATTAAAAACTATGCCGTTATATGAAACTTGTATTGTTGTAAGTTGAAAATCTTTGTCAGGGATGTCAACAAGGAAATGACGCTAATGACGCGGTTTGACGGTAACTACATTGACAGCTAGGGCCATCTATGGGCAAATTCCGGTTTCATATTTACAGACCTAGTATACAGGGTAACTCATAGAGCCATAGTCAGTGGAGGCATAGAACTGATAGAGATAAACAAAAAAATCTAATGTTATTTTGCAAAAATCGTAAAAATGACCGACTTTGTCATAAAAAATATCAGATGAATTAACATTCAGCTACAACGGCATTTCCTTCCTCTTGCCGCATGCAGGCACCTACTTTCAACTGTTGTTATACAAATAATTAGACTTTTTTGTTCATCTTAATCAGTTCTACGCGTTTATTAGCTGTGGCTCCATGAGTTTCCAAACACCCTATATGTAAATAAATACCATTGTCATTTGTACAACCAACATTCTCAGATTGTGATGTTCCTTGCAAAATTTTTTTATTAAATATTTTATGTTTATGCTGTCTATTCCTCCACATTGTCATTAATTTCCCTCGAGAGGGAATCGATTTGTTTTTTTCAGAATTTTTCTTTTTAATTAATAGAATATAGTAGGTTTCTTTAGCTTTGTTTGGAAATGTTTTGGTTATCATTACAGATATTTCTTCTGCAAGATCATTTGTCAAGCTGTAATAATACAAATATTTTTATATTTTTTATTTAAAAAGATAATAATTGCAAATATTAAATATAACATGCGAATATTAAATATATATCAAATAATTGTCACGTTGTCTTAGTTGTTTTTTAAAACGTGTTTATTGTCCTTTTTGGGTCATTGGATTTAACCACTTTACCCCGGGATGGACAAGTTCGTGTGATTGTGTGTGAGTAAAATGTGTAAACGTATGTGTGTATAAAATAATGATTTTACTTACTGATTCTGGTTTAATATTGATTCTTTCTTTTAAGTAATTTTAAATTATTTTGAAATCCTTCTCGTACTGTAGTTTCAGAGAGACTGAAGAGCTTAGGATCGGATTTAAGAGATTGGTGAAGGTTTGGGAATATGAGTAAAATGTAACGCGACGCTTAGATCAGGGGATATGTTAGGAAAACAAACCTTTATCTATCCAATAACTTATTTACGATTTTTAATGTTTTATCTTAGTGATCCAATTGTTATATATATATATATTGTTTGTGTGATGAGTTTTAATTGATTGATTTAAAAGCTAAAATCTGAAACTGACTTTCTAAAACTTCTACTATTACTACTAAAAACTGACTGATTAATTGATTGATTGATTGTCTGATTTTCTGGCTGAATGACTGACTGTTTGTCTTATCTGACTTCTTGTCTCTAGTCTTTTGTCTGATTCCTTGTCTGATTCCTTGTCTCTAGTAGTGTGTGGGCAGTCGCACCCGTTTTTATAGGCAGGTGGCGAGATACCCCCGCGTGAGTTCTCACCACCTTTTAGTAGAAGAGGAAAGATGCTTCTCACGACATGTGAGTAATAATCAATAGTTAAATTTTGACACCTTATTATCAGTCCATTGTTCTTTGACCATCCAGGGTATTTATTGCATTCCTGATGGTAACAGAAGGTGCGCTCGGTCGAACTGAAGAGAAGTTACGTCGGACGTAACACCTTCCCCCTTAAATCATAAGTGGTATATTTAAATAATGATACCACGTATGAGCGTGTTGTGTAAAATGGTTGTGGTTAATTAGTGTCTGTAATTTAAGTATATATATTTTTTTTTTGTGATACAATAATAGAATATGTGTAAGATAGTACAATAGATA